GCCTCCGCTGTTGGAAAATCTTTAAGGTCCACCGAAAACTCACTCATCTTCATGAGGTACGGGTCACGTCCAACATATCTGTATATCAACTCCTTGTATCTGTGTCTTGAAACAGGCTCTAACTCCATACAATACGGGCTCTCGGTAACGGTATCCTCCATGTTTACACTAACTTCATAGACTTCCTGCCCTCCATCTGAAATCGTGCCCCCTGGCCGCGTCATAATCGTCACTTGACTGAAACCCGGCTATTGTAGCTTCATATGTACAGCTTTTCCTTGGGCGAAATAAATGTTACTCCAGTACTGAAATCAAACTGTTTGTCATTCTCTAAGCTGAAATGTTGAATGACATGAAAAGGCGAAAACAGACAAAATACAATTATTCTCCAAGTTTCTTTCACATAGTGAGCTTTTTAACAATATAAATGAGTCTGTTGGTAAACGGACAATATTAATAGGTTCTGCCTTGCCTTGTTGGAAAAGCATGGTTATGACCTGTTCTCAGCTCAGGAACTAGGACCCGTATGATATCTGGTTGTTCAATAGGTTTGCCTAAATAAAAGATTTAGATATGACTCATCAAGATATTCCTGCAAAAAGGTCTGATGTTGCAGGGGAAGGTAATGAAAAGTGTTTGGAGCATGCTCTGGTTCTGATGCCAGTTTGTTTCAACCTTTATCCAGTCTCCTGTAGAAGGACTGGTCACATCACAGGTTATTTGCATTACAAGGACAGTTAGCAAGGTGGAGTGCATACACAAACTTGAAGAGGGGAGGGGGGCTTGCAGGAAAACTGGAATTCTCAGGGACTTCTAATGTTAACCTTAGACCCATCTTTGGCCTGTGTATTTTCTTTTTTCTGGCTTTTTATTGTCATTACACTGTCACAAATACAGAGCAATGAAATGAACTCTCTGCATTTAACCCATCCCCCTGGAGAGCAGTAAGCAGCCACTGTCATCCAGAAGGCATCAAGAAGTTCTGCGATTGCACTTTTCCTCTCACTGGCAACTTGGTGGTTGGCTGCATATTTAGCATGCCTTCCCTGGAAATACCTTTCCAAATTAATTCTTCTGAGGTCAGGACCCTCTAGGACTGGGCCCCCTTTGGGGTTGGGCTCCTCATGGGTCGGGCTTCGTGTGCTCTCATCTGCCCTTCTCTTGTGGTTGTGGCTATCTATATGTCTGCCCTCCTTGTGTTCCAGTGATCTGGGGTGCCTCTTGATAATGGGGCTTGTGTTGT